TTAAGACAAAAAGAAAAGCAAATCCCTTCTTGAGCAAATCCTACGAAGTTTTACTTTTTATTTGAACTAAACGAGCAGGGCGTATTCAAGTAAATGCAAGCAAATTGAGATCAAATCGGATCAGGCGCAAATCTTACTTTGCCAACATAGTCAGCGGATTATCGGAGAGTGCATTGTTGTGCACTAAACTGCATCATGGCCAAACTAAATTAGTTTAGGTCAAACTTCCACGGTCATCATATATTCAGGCTCTTCAACAATTTCCCTGTGAATGACTGTAAACCAGAGGTTAGGCTAGTGAATAATTTCCGACGATTATCTGCAAAGTTAAATCGATAAATGGAAAAAATTCAACGTTCGCATTGTGGCGTTTTCTTCGTCAATCCTGGGTTGGTTGAGCAAATTTCATTGACGACCCTCCGAATGCTGTTGACCTTTAGTTAGGCTATTGCATTAATTTGACCATCATTGGCACTTTTGAGCAGATTTAATGCAACACATTTGCAGGTTTGCAAATTGCCCTCGAATGTGAGGTCTGGGTTATCGTACTGTGGCCTACCCTTGGTCCATATTGCCTTGACTGAGCACATCTCAATGGTGAACAATGTAATATAAAATTTTTGTTACTAAGTGATATTAATATGTGCGACAGGTTAGCGACATCGTAAATCAGGCAATCTGAAGAGCGTGTATGTTGCATTATTGGACCAAAATGTCGGGAAATTTTGGGAAACCTCATGCTGTCACGCGTAGCAGACTTCTGTTGGTAGACGGGACGAAACCTACAACGACCCATATGTCTTACCAAACTCTGATTTCTCGAGCATCAATCCTGTTTCCTGAGTAGTTATGTGGTTGCAAACAGTCTAGTCAAAGTCTAGGGATGATGACCTGGTGGAGACTAATGGGTGAATATGGAGTACGAACTAGTGTATTTCGTTCATCTATCCAATGGTGCAGCCTTAGATTTTCTTACACATTATAGCTTGTCATCTGTCATAGTCGCGATGTGAGAGTCTAACTCAGAGAGCTCGTGCCTCATGTACTTGGACCCACCTCACCCAACATGGTGATAGCGTGACTCCATCAAATGCCTGTGATTACATCCGCCTCCCACTCTGTACCGATTGGACTTGCTTTCTGTATCGCCACATCTTACGCCATCGCCTCGCTTAGATTAATATACTTGTTTAAGTCATAGCCAATGATGAGGTTTCACACAATTTACACATTCAGCGTGTACTTACATCCACTCACCAATACTGCTACACAAACATCAACCATGTCCAAACTTAAATCACGCGCTGTGTACTCCACAGAATCCACTCCTTATTTCTATACTTGATTAGAATTCTATCCTGCCTACTGTTTCTCTTTATTGCAAGTGTAAGGCGGTTTAGAGAAAAATCACACTCCAAAGTCACTGTCGACATGTGGATGGACAAAAAGTTAATGACAAGAATCCCGAATACCATCACACTGTTGACACAGTAGTTACATCGACGACGTTCATACCTACGCGTTGCCATGTGAGAAGCATGCAATTTGGCAAGTCTTCACAGCCTAGTGTAATGTTTGCTTCCATTTATGTTCATCACTTAATGACCTGGAAATCTTTTACCTTTACTTAATAAAACTTATTTTCATGAAGAGCTAGGAATGCAAATTCATGTCAAATGAATTTGTGCGCTGTTAGTGACGAACCTCCACGCTGTATTTCTGTCTTCTTCCTCCTTACCACCGTGCACATAAACAAGATGCTACTGTGCATCAACGTGGCGTTTAAATATATTTATCGTTTATCGTGCATTAACTCGGGATGGTCAACTTTGAAGTGAAAATATATCGGAGTGTGGTCTTAATCCATCAGTCTATCATGCTACAAAGTCTATCTATCCATACTTACCGTCAGGCTAAACCTTGTTTTTTGCACAAAATATCATTATAATTTAATTTAAAGTATATCGGTTGATTGCGTTTCAGTTAAAATTTACTTCTCAAGGGACTTATATCAGCGAGTTGAGGGAGAGAATATAAACGGAAATTTGGCCACACACTGTGCATTATTGCGGTATTTACTTATTACGGGTAAAAAGTGGCCACACGTTGGAAAAGTGATGAATCACACGACGGTTACTATCTGTTCGCGGTTTTATTGTTTACTACTAACGTGCCTTAAAATAACCAGTTGCGTGGTAGTTGATATATTGCATAATTGTGACTAAATCTGTTAAGTTTGAAAGTTGTTTATATGAGTCTAATAAAAGCCGACCAATAGTGTGCAATTAAGGTGCCTATATATATGACGAAACAAGACTTTGTACCTCAAAAGTCGCAGGTGAACGAAGTGAGTCGCATTCAATTTGTCACTGCCAAATTTTAAGTGTTCCATTCTGTAATCCTTACTACTTTCATTTATGTTCACGTAACTTTGCTTACCGCATTTTGTCTGTGAGATTGTTTCGAAATCCCGCTGCATGTGACTGTCGAGCGTATTGTCGGAAAGGCGACGCGTCCGTATACATTTGTTCACACCTTTTAGGAGTAGAATGTTCAGTTTTTAATATCAAAACAGTTCAATTGCAATATGCCGTCAATGTTTGATAAAACAATTTGAATTGTTTGATTTGCCTTCCACAGGTGAGTGAAATTTATCCTGAAGAGAAGAAATGGAGAACTGGACTTCGAAGGAGGAGACATCGACAGGATCGTGCTACACACCGCTTTACTATGAAGCTGATTATCCCGACTTAATGCGCAATGACCAGTGGACACGCGTCAACTGGAATGAGACATCGGAAGTGAACGCAACTGTGCCCTACGCAGGTGAATGCAAACCAGCCATCACGAATGCAGCTTGTTCAGCACATTTCGATTATTTTGCCTGTGACGGCTCCTAATATTGCAAATATATTTTGCATTTGTTGTTTCCTTATCGTCGGTCCTTGTATTTGCGAGCCGGCACGTTCATTCCAAGTCTTCTGTATGACTATTTTACACCGGTCCTTGTAATGGGGCTTGACAATCACAGAGCACACACTAAAAGTTGCTTCTCAGGGATGCTCTGGTTTTGAACGTTCTTCCTATGCTTTGATGGCACTTCATGATTCGCTTTTCTAGTTTTCTTATAAAAGCATTTTCTAGCATTTACAGATGGTGTTTTTATTTCTACTTTCACTTCAATGCTTTTGCCACTTATTGTTTGCATTTGCACTGCACAATAGACGCCGAGCATCTTAATACAACAGAAACCAGACTTTAAAGCGAGAATAGGCACCAAAAATGCACGATATTGGTATCTTCATAGATAAAATGATAACACACTCATTTGTAGATAAAAAAAATGCGCAATGAATGCGACTCGCAGAGGTCAGTGGAAGCTGCCATCCAGATCACCGGGCCATTGAGCATGTGGGAAATTTTCAAAATCTCGATTATGGTCATGGGTTGATTACAATCGGCATATATGCCAAGTGCAACTGTGCGGGGACCCCATGTTTAAGTGCGTCTATCATTCATCTTGCAGTAGCTCAGTAGAGTCAACTTTGAAATAAAGAAACCCGAATGTGGTGTGGAACTATTGCAGCATCCTGCTGCAAAGTCTAGCCATCCATTTGTACGGGTAGTAAGCTAGCTAATGCCAATTTACTGTGTATTGTCATGTGGCATTTTGTTAAGAAAATAGGCACAATCCCCAAAAGTCGTGAACAACTATGTGAATCATTTTACTAAAATAAGCTTGGTAATTAGATCATGTATGATTTTCAGATGATCATGCAAGTAAATGATGATATATTGAGTCGAGTGTACACAAATCATGTTACTTATGTATAACTTAAAATTATTTTAGGGAGACTTCTGGGATGTGATTTTTCGATTTGGTAGTTTTTCTTCATTCTAACTGCTGCAGATGTGACTTGAAGTCAGGCTTGTGCCCAGACATGTTATTCCACTCTCTACGCTTACCAAGATGTACTTTGTGTAAGCAAAGACCAAACACAGACAAGCTGGCAAGCAGGGAGAAGACGGAAATGCAACGTGAAGCCTCATCGTTAACAGCGCACAAATCCATTTGATATGAATTTACATTTCTAGCTCTTCATGAAAATAAGTACTATTAAGTAAATTAGAAAGATTTCCGGGTCATTAAGTGATGAACATAAATGAAAGCAAACATTACACTAGACTGTGATGACTTGCCAAATTGCATGCTTCTCACATGGCAACGCGTAGGTATGAACGTCGTCAATGTAACTACTGTGTCAACAGTGTGATAGTATTCGGGATTCTTGTCATTAACTTTTTGTCCATCCACATGTCTGCCGTGACTTTGGCCTCCTAAACTTTGATAGGATTCATTTGAATAAATTGAATGCTTCTGAAGAAAATTGAAGACGGGTCCATCTCAGCCGACTTTATACCCCTTAAGAGCCCCTTAAAAATATTCGTGAGCTACTCTACTGAATGGATGGTGGATGCACCGCTTGTGTTTACCACTACTCCTGCATCGATAGATCCGCAATAAGACGGATGACTCCGACTATGAACTCAAGTACAGCCAAATCTACCACCTCCACGTTTGTTGTATTGATATCTAGTGCTTTGCTCTCAATGCACGCAGAAGAAGCATCGCTTCTCCACAGTTACAAGAATACCGTAATCTGCATCCTGACCAATCCACAGTGTGGACATTTTTAACACTATCTGCTTCAGATGCGACTTCAAGTCAGACCTGTATCCATGCCCGATATTTTCATCTTTACACTACATCAGACTCATCTGCATGTAGGAAGCTGAAGAATTGCGGGTAGGTAGGCAGAAAGAAAAAAAGCAATGTACAGGTAAGCTACCAGCAAAACGTAATTCCAGTTGACATAAGAGGGCATCCTTAGTTCTTTGTGATAAACGGAACTAGATCAACCAACTTATGTCACGTGCAGCACACTTGCATTTACAATAATCAGCAGTCAATGACGCTTCCTTGGCTTCCGGCAGCACTACAGTTGGGCAACCCGGGAATACGATCTGTGCATCACCAGGCATGCCGAATCAGCACATCTACTACAAGTGCCTGTCCAATTAGTGCGACAGGTCACGGAGCACATAATGGCCTGCATTAGGGCAGGTTTAGCGCAATTTACAAGGCAAATGATGGCTTTCATTACAATTGGCAGATCGCTAATGTTTGTATTGTTGCACTATCTCACACGGCACTGCACACGGACCTGACGATGACAATGGGGTCAAAGAACTAGCAGTTTGGGCTGAATTTTGTCTCCGACCGGTGCTCAGCATATAGAAGACCGCGGAAATTTGCTGGTTTTTCCTTTACCAATCACTATCTCCGCCTTGATT